CTAGTATCCAGCTTTACTATCGCAATGAAATTGCATTTCAGTAGTGTGTGAATATAGCAATCATGTGTTCTGCCTGATGTTGGCTTTAATAGCCGAAACATGTAGCTAAGGTAATGTTAACTTTACCGTTATGTTACAATACAACAGGACGCACAAAATGAAAATTCCATGCCATTGCATATCATTCATACTAAAATGTGTTTGTCTGAAAATAAAAACTCTTTCTCCGTTCCGCGATATTTTAATTTTTCGGCATCCATGTATGTTCTCACTAGTTGGGAATACGTATGCTACCCTTTATATACTCTCTCTCCGAACTCCGTGACATGCAGTCCGCAAGCGAACTATACCGACCGAGCGATCGTCACTTGTCAGCAAAGTTAGTGCCAACTTTTGTGGATAGAAGATGTCGCGTTGTCAGCGCAACAGATCCCCATGGCCGTTAATCTCGGTTTTCTAGACCGGGGCCGCTTTTTCCTTGAAATAGCTCCTCAGTTATCATCACGAGGCTAATAGAACCCCGTTCCAGACCCGTTACTTCTCAGAAAATCCGGTAGCGCTGGGAATCGAACCGGGGACCTCTGGATCTGTAGCCAGAAACTGTGACCACTAGACCACAAAGGCGCTCCTATACTGTATCTGCGTTCACATAAAGCAATTCACGTAGGATGTAGTTAGGTCTATATGTTTTATGGCGTACGTTGCCGTCTAAACACGCATAGCGTCGATTGATACCTTCATTAATGAATGATGAATTGGAAGGTACACGAAAGGAAGTCGTCATTTCCTAATTGAGGTAATATCCCGGCATTTGTCTGGAGGCAGTTCTCGTGGTTTTTATCAGTCTCTCAAGACGTCCTTTCCAGTTCACGGTCCACTAGATTGCGACGCTATGTAGTCTGAATTGCAGATTATTTCTCTGTTTCATTGAATTCGCCATTTCCTACGTCCGTAATCGAATTTCGTCGCCTCGTAATTGAATCTCCTCCCTCCGTAATTCATTATGCGCAATCTGGGCTATATCAGTCTGTGAACAGAAGGAAATGGCTGTCAATATTCTCAAGTCATTACACCATATACAATATAACTGTGATTATATACGAATATACCAAATCTACTTAGGGCAGTAGATCAGAAACACCTGGAAAGCTTCGAAATGTGGTGTTGGAGAAGGATGGAGAAGATCAGTTGGACCGATTATGTGAGAAATGAAGAAGTGTTATTTAGAGTCAGTGAGCAGAGGAATATCCTACACGAAATAAGAAAACGGAAGGCTAATTGGATTGGTCATATCTTACGCGGTAACTGCCTTCTAAAAGAAGTTATTGAAGGAAAGATAGAGGGGCGGATAGAAGTGACAAGAAGACGTAAGAAGATGCTGGATGACCTTGGAGACAGAAGAGGATATTTTCATTTGAAGGAGAAAGCTCTAGATCGCATCAAGTGGAGGAACTGTTTTGGAAGAGACTGTGGACCTGTCGTCTTGACAGATTACAGATGAATGAATGAATATCAAATCTGTGTTAACATTAAAGAATTCACACAAGTTTATTTAGCCAACATCGCGCAGGGAATAGCGTAGACTGGTAGCTTGACAGATGAATGCTGAGTTGGAATGTACACGAAAGGAGTTCGTCATTTTCTATTTTAGGTAATATTCCGGCATTTTTCTCCAGGTAACGACTGTCCTGATTGAAGTCTTCGTGGTTTTTATCGGTCTCTCCAAATACCCCTTCCAATTCATTATTCATTAACAATGTAACGTCCTATAGTACAAATGACTAACTCTTGGTGTGTGTGTGTGTGTGTGTGTGAGAGAGAGAGAGAACTCGTTACATTGGCCCGTTCGTAACATCGGAAGTGGATATTATTTTGTGAAGAAGAGAAAAAGATTCCTATTATTTTCTAGTCATTGCACCGTGTAATAGACTTATCTCATTTGTCAGTGGCGGAGTATTCATATTAACCATGCTATCCCGGATAACATTTTCACAAATAAAATAGAAACGTTACTTTTGTGGTTCAGTGATACTCCCTCCATATACTGACAGAATAAGCCGAACGTACTGCGCCTCCTGCGCTTCCAGCCCATGGCAGGCTAATTATTATACTCGTATGAGGAGATGGGTCAGCCAAATGAGAAATGTTAGCCCATTTCAGTTGCTTGGTGCTGCAGAGCATTCAAGCCATTGGAACAATAAATAAGGGGCGGAAAATATATATTTCTGCTTTAGAATATTCTGCTCGATATTCCTAAAGAATTTTTCCTCAGGTTATATTTGACTTGTACTCTTCTCCAAATATAATTATAATGATCAAATCAAGGAGTATGAAGTGGGCAGGGCATGTAGCACGAATAGGGGATACGAGGAATGCATGTAGGATATTATTGGGAAAGCCAGAAGGAAATATACAACTGGGAAGACCAAGGCGTAGGTGGGTGAACAATATTATAATGGATCTTAGAGAGATATGATGGGATGGTATGGATTGGATTGATCTGGCTCAGAATAGGGACCAGTGGAGGGCTCTTGTGAACATGGTAACGAACCTTCGTGTTCCATAAAATGCTGGGAAATTCTTGAGTAGCTGCAGAAAAGTTCTTTGACTTGTGATAGTATTCCACATTATGGAGCTGAGCCTTTCTTGAGGAGAAGCCAAATAAAAACATAAACATAAAACAACTGCATCCGACGCGTTACCAATCAAAAAGGTTAATTTTGTGCTCAGCTGTGTATTGCGTATTACGTGTTGTACCATGCAATCAGAAAAGGCAGTATAAATTATAGCAGTTTCTGTCCATCAAGAGAATCGAACCCTTTCCTTGGAGCTGTAATGAACAAGCCATGAAGCTTTAATCGAGAAATATCGATTGGCCACGAACATATAGACTCTCTAGCTCTGCGTCATGTAATTCAGTAGCGCGCCTCGTGTGCTGATAAGAGTAATTTTATAAAGTTGAAGGAGCAGCTGCTAGAAGCAGATTAGAGGTTTAAAATGGAAAACCAACGGGCCGAGAAATGGCTGTTTCCTGCACATGCGTTTTATAGATTGCCTCTACAGGAAGAGTGAGTAGAGAAATCGGATTTTAGCTTTTCTCACCTTCCGTCTTTGTCTTCTTGTAATTCCCAGTATGCATACTCCTGTAAGGAAAGGCAAGTAAAACTATTCCTTTTTCTTACTCATGCTATGTAATTTTATTGAAGTACTTGTGAATTTAAATATTGAATACAAATTCATATATTACGTATATGACTATAAAACTTTTTAAGTATTTAATTTTATGTACTGAGACCACCTCTGTGGTCTAGTGGTCAGAGTTCCTGGCTACAGATCCAAATGTCCGGCTTCGAGTCCCGGCTCTGCCCGTTTTCTTATTCTGAGAAGTAGTGGGTCTGGAACGGGGTCCACTCAGCCTCGTGATGATAATTGAGGAGCTATTTCAAGGAAATAGCGGCTCCGGTCTAGGAAACGAGAATTAACTGCCATGGGAATTCGTTGCGCTGACCACCCTCTATCCGCTAAAGTTGGCACTAAATTCGCCGACAAGCGGCGGTCGCTCGGTCGGTATAGTTCACTTGCGGACTAGAATTACGGAGCTTGAAACAATAACACAAACACGGCATATGTGTATGTAGTGTGTACACTTAATTTAGTTTCGTTTATCTATTTTATCTATTTATTGTATTATAAATTATTTTTAAGTTCAGTTTTCCCAAGAATATTTTAGGCAGGACACTCTTTATTCTCTCTTGATATATACCTGTTATATTTTAAATTTAATTGTATGTAAATATTTCGGAAATTTATTGACGTTTCACTGTTTAATATAGCTTTATTCGAAACTCGTCCTAGTGAAATGGATTCAGAATACATGCATATAGGTCTACACACTGCTTAATGCTCTTGATTTCGAACACCTGAAATATATGCACCTTCGCCCCAATAACAAATCACCTTACACAACAACACAAAAGAAAATTTTATTTTATGCTAATTGGCCTTTAATACTTCTTGAAAAGTATCGGATAAAAAAAATCGAATTAAAACTGTATCTCTAAAAAGAATATTATCCCAAATTGAACCTTCCCTTTCATAGTAAAATTAAGTTTGAAAAACTTGCACAAGTCCATCAAGAATCTCGCACGAAATTACCGGGCCAGAAATCGAGTTTCCATGAGCCAGAAGAGCAAGCCTAACCACTTTCCCTCTGTCACGGCGCCATGCAAATCGTCCGTCGTTATTTGTTGTTTGAGGACTTTTATAACTAATCCTACATTTAGTGATGCATCCAGAAGGCAATTCGATATTGATCCTTACTGAACCATGTGAGGAAAATTGTTGGTAGTGCTGTACAGAGCAAATGTTGGCCGGGGGTGTGGGAAGAAGAGATTGGCTACCCGATCCAGTGAAATAATTCAATGCGTCCTCAGCCCCACTCCTACCTGTTGCTTCACGCAGACTCATGGGATACGGCCCTCCTATTATCTGTATAAAATCGAGCATGTGAGAAGCATTGGGTCCATTCAGTTGCGTTGTGTGAAGGGTACAAGACCTGCCTGAAGTATCTGACATTTAATCGAAGTGAAAAGTGATTTCTTGTTTCAAGAAATGTTAAGATAAAACTGTTTCTGTGGCACACTGAAGGGTTTGTTATGTCATGCAATTATTGAGCTGGTCAAGAAATTCCTTACATTCATAAAAGACGGAGGTTCATTACTGTTTTCGTAAGAACGTACCTTGGATTTTAACCTGAATCAGCTTAATACGTACCATAATTTCATGCTATATTTCTCTCAAATCCGTTTTAATATCATCATTCGTGTTTGGTCTCTAAAATAAAATTTTCCTTGTGGTTTTTCGATCAACGCTTTACGTGTTTTTCGTAGTTACATAAAAAGTGTTATATATCTAAACTATATATGTAGATACCTTCATTTCTCTTACAGTATATTCGTGTGTAATTTATAAATTCTAAAGTTCGTCATTATGTAATTTTGTCTATTCCCGTAATACTTGCAGTCTCTGAGGTCCAAGAAGTGTTCTCAGCATTTTGTTCTTTATAAATGCCCTTCAGTGAGGGTAAGGAGGTAAGTTTCACACTCATATGCATTAAGAGGTATTCGTAAATGTACGAGCATAATGTTGAGTGTCTTAATCTTAGGTGTTTATATAAGATTCCAAGAAATAAAATCTTCGAATGGAGTGGACGTATGCATTTCCTAATTTGATTGTTTTCAGTTTCATCATGAATATCATTTCGATGTTACAGTATGCACAGTAGCTAGCAGTAGGTCTAAGAAATGTTGTCACATCTTCAAAGGATACTGAGCCACGCGTCTTGTCAGTTATCATATCGTCTCTTCCTAAATATAAATTTCTTCTAGGCTTCCATGTTATGGTTTATGAAAGTTACAAGCCAGAGATCCTCCTATTGTTTTTGTGTTAGCCAATAAGCAGCGGATTTCTTTAGACTTTGGGTAGTCTCTGAGGTGGCATTTCCCCTGACCTTTAGTAACTGGTTGCAAGCGGCATGATTCGGTTTCTACAATCTAGTTAGTTAATTAGGTTACACCATGAAGGGTGGCTGAAAATATGCAGGGAATCTTGCTGGAGATGTTTCCTATCCTTTATAACCCATCCTTATATTATTACTGGTATTTTGTCCTGAATTTCTTAGATAAGCCACGAATTGTACTTATTTTCCTTTACGTGTTTATTTCTAGACCCCTCTGAATACAAATCAGTTACAACACAATTCTTTTTGTGCTGATTTGATGGAAACTTGCCTGATATATTGCAAGAGTTTTAATCACCTGAAGAGGTGATAAGGAATGAGGATGAGTCCCAGAAGAAATAATGTCTATTATCACGAGTGACTTTCCTCTCTGAAGGAAAAAAAAAGCAGGTTTACGAGAGCATCATTATCTGCATATGTGTCTGTCAGCATCTTCCTCATTTAACTTTTGAACAAACTGAACGATTTAACGAAGCTTGGTATGAATGTTATACCACTGAAACTCACCCAAAACTTCGGGAATCTTAATTTCCCGAAAAAGTAATTGGTAGGAATTCTTGAGCTGAAGATTTGCTTCTTGCAAGATCTTTAACCGTACAGGATACTAAGAACACATAGAAGGGCAGGCGTACATTTATATTCCGCGTAGGATTTGAACCCACGCGCGGCAGAACACAGTACATGTACGAGCTATATAAACTGCGCGACCACTCTGATCAGTCTATTACTGCACATGTTTGGTGCAAGTGCAGCAGATATCCGAGGACCGTGGCCCCATCTCTCACATTATACAATGCAAATAGCAGTGTATAAGCAGAAGTTTAATTGCAGTTAGCACTTTTAAATATTATTCCTTACAATATAAATATTAACCCCGTTATATTGCATTAGAATCTATAGCATAATTACCCCCCACTGATGTTTCATATTCAAATTTACACGAAGGTATGCCAATAATTTAATTGCAGACATACTGTACATGCTGTTTAAGGATCTGGTGTTTGTAACAAAGCTCACCTCTCAATTTCTGAAGGGTTCATCGATCCCAGAACTGAATCCACTCTCACTCATCACCCAGTCTATCATACTGACTCGATTTTATGGAGTGTGACTGTATTCGGGGTCTGTATTTGTAATTGGACTTGCTGAAAACTTACAGATCGTAACTACAAGTAACTACAGCGCTATCGCTAAGTCACACAATCTGTAGTTCACTACAGCACGTACTAAGTCTTCTCAGTCGCCGGTTCACCAGTTGTCTGGTAACGGCCTCCAACGCCATGGATCCCTCGACTTGCGTGTTCACTGCTTCATGTCCACGCTGACTGTCGCCTGTCGCACTGCAGCTCCCGAGCTGGCTTCCAATTGCCGAACTCTCAGTTAAACTATACTCAGCTCCACCAAATGAATTCAAAGTCAAAGTCAAAGTCACATTGCGACTGACGGTCAATGAGTAAGTGAGTCTTGGTGTCGAGCCCCATCTGGGGCTCATGACCAGATATTAATTATTACCGTTTGACAGTTACGGTCTTGCTTCTGTAGGGCGCCCTCTCTGACGAGAGGACGGGTCTGTCCTTCGTATATGCTGCTGGCCCTTGCCAGTACAGTCTTTCTTGGGTCGAAGTCCCTTGGGACTTGCGACCATATTTTACTGTCTCAGATTTGAGACTTACCTTTTCGTAGCCTCCTACGACTTGCAGGGTCACGGTGAAGGTATTCGACCCCACCTCCACACGGGGTACTCAAATGAATTCAACGGAGTCAGTCGAGTGATAGAGCCTCGGAGTGGACCCATCAGAAAACATTGTTCCTCTGTTGATATGGATTGCGTGGTATCACTTGCTCCGTTTCAGCGGCACTGTTCACCTTGTGCCGGACCGCCTGGCAACACCGCTTCCCGCAGCTCTCCTGTTATTAGTTGACGTCACCGCGGACGTGACGTGTATCTCTGTTGCGTGTGCAATCGCCGATAAGTTGATTGCTGTGCCGTAACTTAGTAACGGCTCTCTACATGCTGCAATGCTGTTAAATTCAGCAAAGAGTAGAGATGAAGAAATTATTAATATTCAACATAAATTCTTCAGTCACTGTCAGCAGTCGAAAAAAGAAAGGAATCCTAGTTATATAACATTAATTTTTCCATATGTGATTAAATAAGTGTTACGTGACGTTAATTAGAATTTTGGAGCCAAAACACGTATTGTGTGTACACAACGTGACTAAGTGCTTTCCTTTGCTAAAATTAATATTCCTCTGCATTATATAATGATGCCTATCTTTATTAACACTTTTCACACTTCTGAATGTGGGAAAAGACCATGCAGTGTAGAATGTAAATATAAGACATAAGTCACTAACTAGTCTTCCTATCCTATAATTTCATATGTCCACAGCAACTTCTTAACTTTCCATCTTTTTGTTAAGAGACGTCACAAGGAACAACAAGGGACACTGTATTTGACCAAAAAGGAGTCTCACTGAAGTAGACATGATTCCTCCTTTGTTAGAGAGACTCAGCAACTCTAAACAGATGCTAGTTGTGGCAGTGTACCTATCAATGTTTCTCGACAACATTCTCCTTACAGTTGTTGGTGAGTACTATTACAAACAGTTAAAAGTTAACTGAAATTAATTATTGCTCATGATTTTTGTTCCAACAAAGTAACATTTTTATGCATTCTTGCATGAAGTGCATCAAGTGAAATCATAAGTGGGCCATCTCCATATAAATGTGTCTTTGTAATCTGAATATATACACATATTTCTTTCAAAATTTGAAACTTTGGCCATATTTGGTTTATTCTTCAATGACAGAACCAGATTTCTGTCATAAAATAGAAGACAGATCTTTCTGTACCAAAAATTACCTCCTTCACACAGTATATAAAAAGAAAAACAATGAAACTGTTATTATGCCAGGGTTTTTACAGTTGTCATTATTAAGCAGTAGCATTGAAATTCGATGACATGGATGAGGTGAGGAAGAAGAGAAACTGATAATCTGTGGCCTTGATGAACGGAGTCCGCTAAACCTACTGGAATAAATTAAAAAAAAAACTCCGGACATAAAGATCAACATTAAATTTAAGAATGGAAATAATTTTTTTAATGCTAGTGGTATGGGACTAAGCCCCTTTTACTGCGGCCAATTCTGGCCTATTGTACCAGCCCCAGATGATAGGTGAGGGTGATTTGGGAGCAATTGGTGGAATGAAGATAGGCAGGGGAAACCAAAGTACTTGAAAAAAACCTGCCCCACCGCCACTTTGTCCACCATAAATCCCACTTGACCAGACCCGGGATTGAACCCGGGCCACAGCGATGGGAAGCCAGCGACTAACCGCTTAAGCTATGGTGCGGCCTTAGAATGGAAATAAAGAAGAAATATTTTCAGAAAAACAATCATTTTGACACAAAAATTCTGATCAAACTATCCATTTTGTAACAATATTAATGGAAGTATTTAAGATATATGTATATATAAATGACTGACAAAATGATATTTACCAAGATAATTTATAATTCACTAGGACACAAGAGATGGAATTATATATATCGAAATTTCAATTTCATAACAAGTTGAGTTGAGTTTGACTAAATAATTTTGGTTTAGTTTAGATTATGTATGCATTGTGTTCACTATACAAGCATGAACCACACATGCTGTGTTGTACTTAGCACTACATCTCATGTAGGTGGATGCTAAAAAGTTCCTTGTACATGTAAAGCCATTCAGACAATATTTATAGGAGGACAGATTGCAATCTGAAATAACCATCTGCCTACCAAATCATTGCTAGAAGCTATTCAAGAACTACCAGGCTCTTTCACAAAATTTGTAACCATTAAGGTTTTTATATATAGATTAGAGCGGAAAATATATTTAAAATAAATCACATACCAAGTGGTACAAAAAATACAAGTATAAACAAAAATGTAAACATTTAAGAACTACAGATCTGAATGAAAGTTACATAAGCTGTAAAAACATACCTAAGTCTGTGTAACAACTCAATTTAAACCTGGGAAATTAGTGTCCATTCTGTGCATTTGACAAATTCAACTTTAGTGTCATCAGATATTTTAAAAAAGGAGAGCAGACAAGATGAATGTCAAAATGCCTATTTTAACATGAAAATTTGAAATTATTTTGCTGTGTAGCAAATCAACCACACTGTATAAATATTTTATGCACTATATTGTACAAAACTTACATTCATGCCAATCCACCATTTATTTTTACCATATTGATTTCAAACATCATTCCTGGGTACCACATGATATCTGAATTACATACAACAGAATACCAGGCTTTAAGTAATAGTTACATCTAATTTTTCCAGGCCTGGCACAAGGTTGCTCATTGGCTCAACTGTTTCAACGACAGGGAAAGTTTAATGCATGGCTCAAATTTTCATGGTGGTCTTCAATTGCTCCTTTTGGTATGTCAGTAATAATAATTTTGTAAATGATTTCTGTATATCTGTCTTACAGTCCCCATCATTCCTGACTATCTTTACACTTCAGAACAGAAAGAATACAGTCCAGCAACCCAGAATGTTGTCAGCTTACTCAGCTTGGAACCAGCACTTACAAACAGCTCCACATTTCTGCAATGTTTGGAAAACTCTGTTCCAACAGAGAAGTCCCCTAGAGTACAGCCTGCTTCAAACATTAGTCTTCATAAAGGAGAAAAAACAGTAACAGCAGAAAACAAAAAGGTTATGTCAAATATAGAATCTGAATATCATGCACATAAAATACAGTCAGATATTCATTCACAGAATTTAAACAAACAAGACGGACATGTGAATATTCAACAGATTAACCAACAAAACACTAAAGACCGTGATCACCCATATGGTAACCAATATACCGAAACAATAAATCAAAGACCTGTGTATAAGAGAGGGGACAAAGATAAATACAGTAATATTGTGCAGTACTCTAAGAGTATTAAGCATGAAATGTCAATGCCATCTGAGGAATTTAACACTACTCCGGAGTTTCAAAACTCAAACGTTTTTTACGATAATTCATCAACTAAAGATTATAATATATTATCCACAGAAGATAGAAAAGCACTCAGACATGAAGATGAACAAAAGCAGCAAACAAAAACAAAATTGACGAAAGAACTAGAATACATACAGAATCATACTGCAAGAACACTCACACAAGACCATCAAAAATATATGAAGAATTTAATGATACCTGATTATTTACATTCCCAGGAAAATCAGCACAGTACTACTACTGAAGGTCTAAACGACACCGGACAGCATTCTGCATTACAAAACTGGAGTGAAGCTGTAGAATTGAAGTCTGTGCCAAGCAGCAAACAAGCCTCAACACTCAACAACAGCAACTTCAGGTACAGTAAAATTCATTTTGGGCAAGGGCTCCTGACAGCAGCCATCAGAGACAGTATTCATGAAAGTAAACAATGTTCATAAGGGTATTTCTGAAAATATAAATGTTGGTATTTACTGCAGTGTTTCTCAATATTTTCTATGTAGCGGCACACTAAAATAAGTTAATTCAGTGACTGGCCCACTGAAATCAACAGGAAATTCAAAATATGAATGAAAGAATCATTTATAGCTTACTTTCCTTATTTAAAAAAAAATAAGGTAGGATTCTTAGATCACCTGAGCCCATATGAATGTCATAATTCATAAACCCCTTCCATCAGCAATACCAATACATACATATACATACATACATAGAATTCCATAGATCCATGAGTTAGTCAGATGACCTACCGGATGTGGAATTTGTCAAAAATCATACAATACATATATACATGCACAATTCAAGTTCACATAAATAGTAAGGATTTCACAAAAGTAGTAAAATATCCATCATAAATCCATACATTAACATATACTAGATTTTTTTTNTTACAATGAAGATCATTAAGGAGAATATGTATTCACATGGGAGAGTTAAGATCTCTAGCCTCTTGAAGATATTTTTACATGATTCTCTTGGTTTAACACCAGCCATTATTCTAACAATTTTCTTTTGTAAGATGAATATCTTTTGGCTGTAAGATGAGTTACTCCAAAAAATTATTCCGTACTTCATTACAGAATGAAAATAGGCAAAATAAATCAATTTGAGAGTCTCAGTATTGCTGATATGAAACATGCTTCTAACTGTGTAGCACGCTCCACTTAACTTAGGGATCAATATTACAGTCCCTCAAATTTCTGAGGGAAAATTTTAATATTTCTTGAACACCTTTACCAGTCTTCATTAAACTTTGTGTGTATATTATGACACATGAAGCAATCTCAGCAGCACACCTCATGAATCTGTCGGTCAGTAATACCAATATTACATCCTCTCAAATTTTTGCAGTAACTACCACAATGTTACTTACATGTCTGAACCAGTAGTTGTGGAACTTGGAATTCGTTTCATGCCACCTGAACCAAATTAAAAAAAAAAATCTTTCCTGTCAGTAACACTGATTTTACAGTGTTTGAAATTGATTAGGTAAAACCTTAAAATTGTTTGAACCCCTGTACCAGTTTTCATTGGATTTATTATTTATATCTTGCCACCTGAATTTTACCTGGGAATATCTGGACCCCTCCCCACATCGCTAATACCAGCATTATAGTCTTTCAAATTTCCTGGGTTAAACCTTCATATTGCTTCAACGCCTGCACCAATGTTAATGAAACTTAGTCAGTGTATGATGCCACCTGAGACCATCTCAATGACACACTTAAGAAACCCTTTCCTTCAGTAATACCAAAGTTACAGTCAATCAAACTGCTGATGCATAACCTTAATATTGCTTGATCGCCTGCTCCAATCGCAATGAAACATGAATCATGCCACTGAGATTATCTCAATGACATATATCACAAATCACTCTCATCAGTAATATCATCATCGCAGCCTTTCAGATGATTGAGTTAATATCCTTAATATTACTCAAATATTGCTCAAAAGGCATTAAGTATCATAAAGGCAAAGTATTTAGACGCAGTGTGTTCTTTTGACTAACAATTCCTTGTAAATGTACAATTTTTCAGTTTCTTTGTACACAAGTTCATTCATTCATTCATTTATTGTATATTCCATAAATCCATATACATAGATATAGAACCAATCACATAGCTAATATAGTACAATACAAATATAAATATACTCGTATATGTACAGTTTATAATCAAAAAAACAGTCTTACATCACTATACGTAAAATTATGCAATATTAAAATTGTTTATGCTATTATCCTTATTTCTAGGCAAATTTGTTACTAAAGAATTCATCACATGTATAAAAAGAGTTTTGCAATAAAAATGTTGTCAACTTAAAATTTTTCAAGTCATTAGACATAGATTTGATTTTTGGTGGCAAATGATGAAGTTCATAGCGTCACTAAGGTTATTGGTAGGCAGACTGTGCTCATTTCTCCACTGCTGCTGTTGTAACACTGATTAAAGTGTCGACTAATTTTGATAAATGTCCACACATTATGCTTTATGAGTTCTATCTGGAATTCCTTATTCTGATGTAATATTCAAAATTTCATTCTTATTTTTTAGCATGAAAGTCTGAAATATTTTTTGTAGATCTTAGCAAAATTTATACAGAGAGATTTACTAGCAGCTGAATCTCAAAAAAAGAAAAATGTCACAAAATTGTGTAAAGCATAAATTCCTAGTGCTGTTTAAGACCTATGGTAACTATTTGCTTTCTTACATGAAACTGTACTCACTGCTGTGATTTTCTCAAGCACTCCACATGTTAGGTCAAGATGTTCAACTTGAAATAAAAGTCACACTGAAGGAGAAGGCGTAGTCTGAAGAGCATACTGTATATCTAATGATATAGTATATAAATCTGGAACAAGAAAGAAGTGAATAACAAATGTGGGAAAACACATAACATGAAATGTATGAAGTAGTACGTAGCTATATTACAATAGAAATTTATCAGAGTAAGTTAATATGTGTGGGCCATTGTACTTCTTTAATTTCAGCATTAGCAGGAGGCAACATAATGGTGCCAGTTCAGGGGCAGCTATTATTTCCGCATCCCATGGCGTGATTGAAGAGAATGGTCGTGTTGGTCTTCTACTGTCATCCAAGGCTCTCATTCAACTGATGATGAACCCAGTGGTTGGAGCGCTCACTGCACATGTGGGCTACCAGCTGCCTCTCTTTGTGGGTTCCATCAACCTCCTAGTAGCTACACTTTGTAAGAGTATTACCACATCTTTTGGTTACATGTAACTTTCTGGGAAATCTATTGAAGTTCAGCTCTGAAGATTTCCTGAGAAGTAGTGGGCATGGAACAGGGTCCACTCAGCCTCGTGAAGATAATTGAGGAGCTATTTCAGGGAAATAGCGGCTCTGGTTTAGAAAACCGAAATTAACGCCCATGGGGATTTGTTGCACTGACCACGCGACATCCCATATCCGCTTGAATTTGACACTAACTTCGCCAACAAGCGGCGGTCGCTTGGTTGGTATAGATTGCTTGCGGACTAAAGCTAGGGAGTTTGTTTGTATGGTTTTAACCTTGAAATATCACAGTTTTTATAGTTGCAATTCTAATGTTAAAGCCATCTGTTATGACTGTAAGTCTGTTGACTGCTCTTTGAAGGCCAACCTCTGATTCACTGAAAATAGACTGATCATCTGCAAATAAGATTGTATTTAAAACTGTATCACCAATTTGGTTAAACCGTCTAGCCATTGCCTAATTACTTTGTCAGTACATATACTGAATAATGTTGGGGACAGTGGACATCCCAATTTTACTCCCTCATTTCTGTGTAATTCCTTGTTGCCAAATGGTGTTCCCTTGCCAGTTTTATGCTTGTCTCAATGTATGGGCTTTGTAAAGTGTCATGAATTCCACCATTTTTTAGTAAGCTGCTCTCTTACAAATCTGCAGCAAGAACATGAGCATCCTTTATGGACCCAACATTTTTCTTCCAAATGTAAAAGTACATGTTCATTGATTTTGTTCAGTCTTCGAGTTATAATCTTAGCATGAACCTTGTAAGCTGTGTTCAGTAAATAGATCCTCTATTTGTATTCTTCACCCACAGTTGTTAGCATGATTAAATCAAGGATAATGAGATGAGTAGGCATGGAGGAATTATGAAATGTATACAGAAGTTTGTTGAGTAAACTCCAAAAGAGGAAGCCATCTGGGATACCTAGACATATACAGAGTGATAATAGTAATACAGATTTTACTAAAATAGATTGAGTGTGTGGCCTGTAAGCAGCTGGCTGTAATGGAAGTCTATATTCAAATGATTTGTTCCACTGAAGCACGGAATTTCATGATCAAATTAGCAACTGTCAACTTCATAAGGAAGTAATGCAGCATGTAATTCGATATTGAGTCATATTATTTTAGTTGTTTCTCACAAATCCCACAACAAAGACTGGCAATTTGAAGGTCATTCAAGCCCATAAACAGTTTCCCTGTCCATCAGCAGTCTTGGAGAAAATTTCTTTGCACTAGAATGTACAGAAAAACAAAATACTTTCCATGTTAAGAATGTCCCATGTTTGGTTTAATTTCAGTGTTTGCATTTGGTGAACACTTCCTGGCACTCCTGTTAGCTCGCAGCCTACAAGGCATAGCTTCAGCTTGCATCAGTGTATCAGGTAAATCATTCTGTGACACCGAGCACTAAGCATTGTGACCTAAAACCAAGAATTGTAATGGAGAATTAGATTCATAATCTCTTGATATTATGAATATACATTTAGTAGCTGGAAAGGAAATGGAAAACTGACTGTATATATAAGATTATCAGAAACTCACAGGTTATTTGAACCCAATTTGCAGGTACAACTCTTCCTGGTCTGTTGTTATGAATTAACAAATTACCTTTCATACATTTTTTTCAGTTGACCTAATCCTTCCAGCTGCACTAGGCCCTGGGGTTTACTCAGCCTCTAACAGACATGAGTACCAGGAATTAAATAATAATTTTCCTGGGGAATAAAGTGCAGCCGGAGTGTAAGGCTGACAACCTTACTTCCATCTTTGAGCCAATTTTCTAGATAATGTGGGACCCTCAACGTCTCACAATCCTATGGGCCTTCATGGCCTGATACAGGGATAGCTTTACTTTTACGTTTTACGTTTCATTTTAACCTAAGTACATGTGATCACTCTTTACAAGACTTCTGTGCCCAGTGGATCTGAGATCATATTAAGCTATAGGTACTCTCTGCCAGTTACTATCTTCTTTTTCGCTATCGTCCTACCACCATTTGCATAATGAATATCCCAATTTCTTGATTCCTGTCTTCACTCTTGCCAGTTGGACAGTGGCCAAGTTGGTCAAGGACCATAACTGATGGTATAAGTCATAATAATAAATTAACATTACTATTATAACCATCTGAAAGTGTGAATTGGAATCTTCTGAATTGACACCATTCATAGTTGAATCTTGAAATACAATACAATATTGTATATAGATATCCATGTGGATGTATGGATGTTGAAGTAAAATTCCAAGCATTCTTAACTGACAGCTGTATGGAGGTGAGTGTTCAGCTCCCCCTCCCGGCTACTTGAGTCCCAGTATCTACTGGAGAGATGGATGAGGTGAGACCCATAGCTAGTGTAAATGAAGTGGAAAAAGGAAAACTTTCTGTCTCCTTTAGTGACTGAACCCTAAGAATATCACTGCATTGACTTTACCATCCTAATTCAAAAAAGTAAAGATACTTAAAAGCATACAGATATTTCTGATGTCATGTATGCCTAAAATGTAAAAATAGTAATTCCTACTCATGAAATATTTTCTAGTTAATGGTCATAAGTGTGAATGTGTATGGGCAAAGTGGAGCTAAGACTTAACATTGCACTGGGGCAAAGTTTCTGTCTGGCTTCATGAGCTGGTTCTTTTGTCCCTATAAAGAAAGCCTCCTGTAAATATCTGGGTGTATCTTTGAGTCGGTGAGCATAAAAGGAAAAAGAAAATCATGCTGTACTGGAAATCTAAAACATGAAGTTCTGGGAAGAACTAATCACCCGGTTTCCTCACACTACAATTTATGTATTTGATATGACAAGTAGAAAAAACACTGCAGTATGTATTACTGATGGAAGGAATTTATGAAGTACACTGTTGAGATGATTTCAGATGACCTATCAATACCATAGAAAAGAATGAGAAAGGATTAAAAGCAAAACAAGGGAGGAGCTAAATGTATGAAAGCTTACAAGGGACTTTCTGTTGAATTTTCAGTGGGCCTTTTTCACTAATGCATTTTGTATGTGAAATTTTGTATTAAGCTTTGTACAGGTATAGAAAAGTTCTGACATTGTGATGATGCAAAGTGTGAGTTTCTGTAACAAGTATAATGTTAGGTTTTCGCGGTTTGCACATAACTTGATATGAATTAATCTTGTGAACAGGAATGTGCCTGGTAGCAGAGCAGTTCCCTGATGATGTGATTCGAAGCAGGATTATGGGCATTGTTCTTGGAAGCATGGCTCTTGGAGTTCTTGTAGGATATCCATTTGGTAGCCTCATGTATGATTTTGTCGGAAAAATGGCACCATTCTTCATCATTTCAGTTGCTGTTTTCTTAAATGGAGGTATGTCCTTTATAATTAGCATGGTTACATATTGACAGATCTCATTAACACTTATGGCTTAGAAATACTTACCATTGATATCATAGTACAGTGTTCTGTTATAAAGAACACTTAACCTGAAGGTACTAAATGTTATACATAAAATATCAGTTCATATAATCCACAATGTTAATAGGAACAAATTGGTGTGCTGTATTTGTTAGAGAACAGTTCTTGGCAACCTACAATCATACAAATATTCATAACAGAAAATTTTAAATTCTGTAACTTAAATCTTGAACTGGGATATCTCATCAATAAAGTGACTGGCTGCAAGATGGACTACTTGCGATCAATTCCAGCTGGGAAGAAAATTTTATCTTTGCAACCATATTGCAATGGACCGACACAGCCTCTTATCAAGGGCATATCATGGGGTCAATGCATGAAACTGGCAATTTACCTCAGTCCAGAACTGAGATTAAGTATTCGCAGAGGGTGCTTGGTATCAGGGATAACAGTACCAATATCTTTACTTTATCCCATTCTTAAACACTAACACTGGCTGAGCCCTTCATTTGGATTTGATGACTGTGTATTTATGGTTATCATAAAAGAAGAAACTGATTGGTGACCATATTGGCAACAATCTTGTTTGCCATCTTCAGAGATCTCTGAATATGAACACCAGAGAATTCAAACTCATACAAGACAAGTTTGAAATTTTACGTTTCATGGAGATTGTATTTTTATCCGACAAAATATATCAGTTAGCTAGCCTATGTGATTTGCTGGTCCATAGACCAAAGGGAAAACTTTAAAGAAAGGGGATTTCATCTTGTGAGAAGTTAGCTAAGAGAAGAATCCTTTTGGAGCAATAGGCACTGAGAAGTAAAGTTCATATATATTTCAGCAAATCAAATACCTAAATTCCTTAGTCTGTAACCAGCTAATTATCAGGTTAGAGTTGACGTCCATGACTTAAAGAATGAGAATGGGTTCCATAATCAGGTCAATCATGCAACTCATCAGGTAGTGACAGATGAGTATAGAGCAATGGTGGAATGGCGATTGCTGGGGTGAGCCAAAGAAACTTATGGAAAACCTTCCTTCTGTGCCCCTTTGTCCACCATAAAACTCACTTGAATTTATCTAGGATTGAACCCAGGTTTCTCTAATAAGAAGCCAGTATCTAACTGCCTGAGCTAATGGACCGTCAGCCTGTATATTTGTCAAATAAAGTAATTGTAAGGAAGAATTAGAAATCATGGCACACAAAATAAAACTGCTGCAGTTAAAGATCAAATAAAAATTCCTACCATCAAAACTAAATCGAATTATGCAAGACAATAACACTATAGAATAAATATTACAATTTTTTAGTAAGTATTTAGGATACCTGATCTCAGACCTCAGGGTGGTTATGAAAATAAAATTACAATCTTTCAGTAAAATAAACAATAGTATAAACCCAAATTTTGGCTAGAAAATGTTTACAGGAACAAGTACAAGAATATGTAACACTAGAGCAAAGAGAACTTTGCAATATGATAATGGCTTAAGATATTTAAGAAATTACTAGAACCTAGAAGGCTAAAAGTAAAGAATGAAAGACTGAAATCAACACAAATTGGGTGCCTACTACTGTTACTTTGGGTATTACAGCAGTAAAATGAAACATCAGGAGAAAAGTTAAATTTTTCAAATATCGCTGAAATTGAAGTCTGCCAAAAGAATTGATTACAGAAAGTACATGAATAACAAACCAGGTACTGAAACACAAACCACTTGGGGGCAAAGAGTTTCTGGATGTTCAAAGAAATGATGCAGAGACTGGTTATACCTAGAGGGCATAGATACAGGCAATTACCATAGGTCTAATCCTAATAGTTCATTCAGGTGATGATAGTGACAGTGGAAGACCACTGTCACTAAGATCATGTATGCAGCAGCTGGTACTATAGACTCTTACTCTTACAGCCCTTTTCTGAGATTAGGCCAGTACTGTGTTCGTATTACACTCATCACTGTATTCAAATTGCTTACATTTATAAGGCAAAGATAGTGGTCTTCTGGATTNAATGAAAGACTGAAATCAACATAAATTGGGTGCCTACTACTGTTACTTTGGGTATTACAGCAGTAAAATGAAACATCAGGAGAAAAGTTAAATTTTTCAAATATCGCTGAAATTGAAGTCTGCCAAAAGAATTGATTACAGAAAGTACATGAATAACAAACCAGGTACTGAAACACAAACCACTTGGGGGCAAAGAGTTTCTGGATGTTCAAAGAAATGATGCAGAGACTGGTTATACCTAGAGGGCATAGATACAGGCAATTACCATAGGTCTAATCCTAATAGTTCATTCAGGTGATGATAGTGACAGTGGAAGACCACTGTCACTAAGATCATGTATGCAGCAGCTGGTACTATAGACTCTTACTCTTACAGCCCTTTTCTGAGATTAGGCCAGTACTGTGTTCGTATTACACTCATCACTGTATTCAAATTGCTTACATTTATAAGGCAAAGATAGTGGTCTTCTGGATTATGATACCTTGTAGTTTGGTAAGTGGTTACCAGTGTTGGCTCCGACTTTAGAATTAGAAGTTGGGTGGATCCCAGAATTAATGTGTATTAAATGGCAAGGTAAGAATCCTGTCACCTGGAAGATGGACATAGAAGCTTCCTACAAAACATTATTAACTACTAACAAAGTACATGTTCTCATAACCCAGAAGATCACAATCTTAAATTAACAGCCATGAAAACATAGAATCTCATTCATTTATAAAGCTGCCTTCTGTTTTAGTACTGCAACTGTTCCTTCTGGACTTGAAACCAGTTCCTAATGTAAGTTTAAATCATATATCATTCAATAATAACTCCACATATTATCCTCCAGTCCTGCAACTGATCCATCTTGATTTGAAACCATTTCCTTGCATAATTTAATATGATATGTCATTCATTAATAAGGGGAGCCAGAATAGCTCAGTCAGGATAACGATGAGCTACAGGCTGAATGGCCAGGGTTCTCTTCCCGGCTGGGCCAGGAGATTGTTCTCCACTCCATCACCTCTGGCCTGGCTCTGGGGCCCACACAGCCTTGTATGCAATGGGTACAGGGGGTAAAGTAGCCAAGGCGTAAAGATGAGCACTTACCTCCATCTAGTGCCAAGGTCAAGAAGGGTGGAGCTGTATCTCCAATCCCACACATGTCTTCATATCACAGTGCTTAATTAGTTGAGCACAGTAATAACTTTACCTTTTACTCATTAATAACTTCACAGTATTCTTTTCATGTTCTGCAATTGTTACTTCTTGACCTCAATAAAGTTTCTTGCATAAGTTGATATCAAATATCACTAACTAATAATTCCCCAGTGTCCTGTTCGATTCCTGCAGATGTTCCATCTCGATCTCACACCAATTCTGGTATAAGTTAATATAATTAGTCACTCATTGGCTACAATAATCCAGTTTAGCCCTCTCTTCCTTCCTGATCCCAAACCAGTTCCTGATTGCATGTTACTCATTAATTATTCTACAATATTCTAGTCTATCCCTCTCTCCCTCTGTGATCACGAACCAGTTCCTGACATAAATTAATACTGTATGTAGCTCAGTAATTACACCACCGTATTTTGTAATATAAGCTAGGAATTATAATTTCAATTTTTTTATTCTCTTCTAATATATTATTTGTGTATAAAGTGATTACAACTTCTTTGTTACAACTGTGTAATTTAAATTTATTTTCTTATTGTGTCTTTGATGGGCTACATTATAACGTTCTTGGTAACATTTATCTCATAACACTTCTAAAATTGTTAGCCATATTGCTCAGTTTCTCTAGTCCTAAATCAATTACACCATTTTCACTAATTAAGAAATAATAATGTATTTCATAATGCAAGTAAGGATTTTGCAAGACATGTGTTTTATTTAATTCTTATTGCGTCCTGACTTCTATAAGTGAAGCTTCTCATTTACGTTTACAGCCCCTTTCTATTATAATATAATATAAATTTTCTTTTCTTTCATGGTAGGGGATCTCTGAGTCTTGACATAGCTTAGGGTCTCAGCATGTCTTAGTCAAGCACTGGTACTGCATGAAGAATATTTTAATTAACTGGTCTGTTAATGTCATGATATGGTTCAGAAAGATGGACTATTGCAAAATTGCCATAATTCTTTAATAATGATCTTTAGCACAATTTATGGGCCAAAAAGGGAAAATAACCTTGGAGAAGACACTGGAATAATGAACTGTCTCAATTATGTAAAGATCCTGATATTGTGAAAATTATTAAAGGGAAGAGGCCAAAACACTTGAAAATTCAAGTTGCTTCATAGTCTAGTATTTAAAAGTGCCAGAATTTCAGTAACTGGTGGCAGAAAATGTTACAAAGGGAATTCTGGAAAACCGCAGTAGAGGAGGCCAAGAACCAAATTGGGTTGTAGAGCCAGGAACAAGAAGACTGTGTCAGGATGTAGGGTTAAGTTCCTTTATAATAGACAATGAAGAGGAGGGTAATAAAAACATCATATAGCCATACAAAATTATGCCTTAAGCATTGATCACTGATATCCCAGAACATGTGACTTTGTTTACTCTTCTCTCAGAAAATGACAGGATATTAGATTTACTTTGATCACATTTCCATTCCTTTTGAAAAAAACTGCCTCGAACCTAATGACAGACATTCTTTCAGCGTCTACTTTTAAGCACCAGTTGGCACAAACTTCTATCAGATGGTCATGTTGTGCTAATTGCTGGTGCCATCTGGCTATCCACTTCGACTATGGCTATCTTGGAACCCTGTATGCCTATTTGGCTCATGGACAACATTAAACCACAGGTAAACAAACCTCTCCAATTCAGATGAAGCAGGTTGGTGAAACGACAACTTTGAATTTGTTTTCAGGTGGTATCCAGCTTGAATCTCAGCCATATTACTTGATACCCTGTTAGGCTTTTTACAGTTTTTTTTGTCAGTCTCACCAAGCTAATACTAGAAGAGTAGGTCACCACTACCTTACACCAAATTCTTACCTACTCACAGACTATTCTCCTCTTCCCTTCTAATTCAACTAATATAACCTTTGCATTTCATCTTTAAATAACCAAAGACCATAAAAACCTCTGAAATAGCTGAGACACCAGACCCACTTAATGTAGTATTATAAATTTAGCTGTGGTAATAGATATTTGATAGATATGCAACTCTTATTGAAGTCTTATTTCTTTTAAATTGTTACAACTGCAACATGGCATCCATAAAAATCCATATTTAGCTTCAGCTCTGATGGTAATAACTGACAAAATCCAACCCCAGGCATGCATATTTTTATGCTGAGGTAGGTCATAATAAGTATTACATATTTTGTTATCACATATTTTGCAATTTAAAATTACATACATGACACTAGCACAAAACTTTCAGGCCATGATGGGAAAACTGAATATAGAATCTGCACTAGTAGAAACTATACATACAAATGGATGACTGAATTACCTAATTAATGACTTATAATTCTTGCTAGACTCTTCATATGGACTGAAGCATGTAGAGGAATATCTTTTTAGATTGTCATAACATCATCTACACTCCTGTCATGTTGCACATTATGCATGTAGTTGCTACAGTAAGGTACAGGTAAAGTTGCCCCTGAGCTTACTTAAGCACTATGCAATGAAGGCATATGGGGGAGTGGACATATAGCTCATCTATTTGTGACCTCTGCGCTAGATGGAAGTGAGTGGTCAGCTTCACACCCCAGCAGGTTTACCACCTCTGGTAAAATTCTCCCCCCTCCTCCTGTGCCCATTGGATAATAGTCTGGGTGCGCTCCAGAGCCAGACTGGATGCTATGGACGAGAGTAAAATCTTGTCTTTATCAAAAACCAAACCCTGGCTGCCCAGCCCATAGCCCATCATTATGCCGACTGAGCCATCTGGTCTCTTTTAGTTAGTACAGTAAAAGTAAAAAAGATAAAGTTGTCCCTATGCTTAACTAATTAAGCACTATGACAAGACAGCATGGGGAAGTGGATGTATAGATCCACATTTTCTTGACCTAAGCACTAGCTGGAGGTGAGTGGTCAGCTTCATGCTCCAGTCGCTTTACCCCTGGGAAAAGACCTTTGATAACCATTGGATGGGAAGTTGGGTGGACCCCAGAGCCGGTCTGGATGACGTGGAGAAAAGAAAGTTCTTAATCCCACTGGGACTCGAACTCTGACCCCACAGTTGTCCAGTCTGTAGCCAGTCACAATACCAACTGAGCTATCATGCATGTCAAAAAATTTAAAATATTTTTAGTTTTCTACGTCAAATTGTACTCACCTCCAACTAGTGCCGAGGTCAAGAAAAATGTGGAGCTATACATCCACCCCCATGCAACTTCATGGCATAGTACTTAATTGGTTAAGCACAGGAACAACTTCAGTTATTCTAGCGCTGTCCTTGTTCTTAACTTGTAATGGGTCACAGGTGCAGCTATTTTATTGTCTCATAATGCATTAATATTTCAAAGTTTCTTTAGAACATTATTTCCCCTTTCCAGTTTCTTCCATAGAATCACATTAATATTCTAACTAATACATTTATTTTTTGTCAGAGTTTTTCTTAAAAGTGACTGAACCAAAGTACATAATTTAATTTCATAAATATACACTTAATGCTGAAATAATATTACAATAAACTAGTCTTCTGCTTTCATTTTTAATAAACCTTATAAGCACCATAAGCAATATCAGGACACTGAAATTCAGTTCATTGCAGCAAACAGTAAATTATTGTCACTTATTAAATGTTGCCTCTAAAACCAAAAACTGTGACATTACACATCTTTGGTACTATTTACCACCCTGGCACTTCATGCTGCTAATGGTTGTAAATAGCAAGTACGTTACTGTATGCATTAAATGTATATGCCAGTGGCAATAGGGGTGAACATAGATTGCTCCATGCTTTATACATTACATGGCTTCCTAGTAACCCCCAGTCACACAAAGCAGAAGGAAACATTGGAAGACAAAACGATTACATGTGAAATTTGAGGATCTCATGGCAGTAACTACCAGGATAATGAACTCCTGGGGTGTGACAGCATGCAGTTTGGTAGATAGGGTCTTCAAAAATGTTGGTACATATCTACCAAAATTTGAGTATCACATCTCAGAAGTCAGTAATCTAGAAAGACATCATAACAGGGAACTGAATGCAAATTTTCTGATCGTGCTTACAGAAGTGGCAACTTGGAATGGTGTTCATTCCTGACAGCGTGGGTTATCTCTTGGGTACCAACTTCTTTGGTCCTATAGCATATAACTTGGGTCGCTGGCGTGTTGCTGTTTCTGCAATGATGGTTATTGGACTGTCTACTGTACTTGTAAGTTAAGCACCATTATCCATTATGTTGGTGGTCAGGATAGTTCGGTCAGTAAAGTGATTAGACTACAGGCTGGGTGATCCAGGAATCAGGGTTTGATTTCCAGTTGGAGATTTTTCTTTTCAACACAGTATTTCAACCATTTTCTGGGATTACTCAGCATCCTGCTTGGAAAGTCATGCAGAATCTCTCCATGTACAAAGTTTCATATCTGACTCTAGTAGTTTAGTGAGCATGACCATCATACCACAACTAAGTATTCATTTTATGTGGTTTCTATATTGTCTTACATTCTGCAAATGAAAATTTGTCAACAAAATTTCCATGTATTTCAAAACACCACATTGTTTTCAGAACCACATTGGTGGTGCTCATGTCACAGGAGCTGGAAAGGCAATGATATCGGTAGAGCATTATTTATGGTGGAAATTAAAAAGTAAGAAGATCGGGTAATTTCTAGTGGTGTGAGTCTGTTGTTAAGTTTCACTAAAAATCTCTCAGTTGGTTCAGAAATTACTAGTTTGGAGACCAAGAAGTTTTTTCTTATTTTCATAACCCATCACGGGCAACAATCAAATACATCAGTAGACAACTTTTATATTCATTTTAAATTCAAGAACAGCTATGATGATTGATTGGTAAGCCATTTACAGTGACTATCATCTTATTGCTCACATTACCTTTTTTTTTTCTAATCAGTGAACAATATTTTACTAACACGAAGAGAGAGAATATGTGTGTGTGTGTGTGTCTGTGTGTGTGTGTGTGTTTGGGGGGCAGGGCTGCTTGTGCAAAGTTCTCAGAATCATCAAACATTATAGAATACTGTATACATTATGATTTATAAGAACTGTTTTAATAAACTTTGATTGAAGAGCAGATATAGACAATTTCAACATGCAACTTTGTTCTCTTGTTACTCTAAGATGATGAAATGGATTATGACTGTTCATGTACAGGTACCCAGTGCTGGCAGTGTAGGTCAGTTAGCAGTTCCACATTTTGGTCTAGGACTTGGAATTGGTGTGGTGGATGCAGCACTGGTACCACTGTTAGCCAGTCTCATGGACTCCCGATACGCTGCACACTATGGCTCTGTCTATGCTCTTCAGCAGATGGCAGTCAGTTTGGCTTACTCTTTGGGTAGGATATTCCTAATTTTTAGATATCAGCTGCTTTATATGAGTATTAGGCATACACTTCTCATATTTTTCTCCTACAAAGAAGGCCATCTTTCCAGTAGTACTTCTGTGTCCAAGTGGACACTCAGCACTATATAGTGGACATGTAGTAAGCTACAAATGCAGTAAATATGTAAGCTTACATATGGAATAAGAAACTGAATATTGACAGTAGTAAAATTCATATAATTTAAAGTATTGAAAAACTTAATACATTTAAATTTTACACATTAGCTCAGTATGAACATTAAAATTGTTGTAATATCAATATGAACAGTTTCTTACACGAGTACTATTAGGTATTATAATATTTTTAAAACTAAATATGTATCATATTGCAGAATTCAAAGACCTTATTAATAAAGCATTAGCTCCTCTGAAAAGTTTTTGAACAAAATATTTATACTTCAGTGAACTGAGCTTTTAAAACAAACACGTTCAATGAAAATTTCGTACAGAATATCCCATGGGAGACCTATGGACAGACTGAAAGAAAATATTAAAATGAAAATTGTGAATTGGATTCATCTGTTACAAACATAGTATTGAAACTTCAAATTTTATAAATTGTGTCAACTCATATAGAATTTTGGCGAGGAAAACTTTCAGAAAATTTCCACCTGGAAGACCATGAAAAAGAAGAGAGGATAGCATTAAGGTGGATCTTGGGTAGACTGGTTGTGAAACTGGGAGGTGGCTGGAACTAAATCAAGAATTTTTCCAATGATGAACTTTGGTATTTGCCAAATACTCCCATGGTTATGATGAGATACCTGTCGCAATATTGAAAGCTAGTGCCCTATTTATTAGTTCTCCGCTAACATATATTGTAAATAAATCTCTTTCTTCAGGAATTTACCCAACTAGACTGAAATTTTCAATAGTAAAACCAGTATTTAAAAGTGGGGATAAACTTAACATCTCTAACTATAGACCAATATCTTTGTTACTGACTTTCTCTAAGGTATTTGGAAAGGTAATATATTCCAGGCTTAACCAGCATCTAATACAAAATAAGATACTTGCTAGTGATCAATATGGATTTAGAAAAAACTCTACAACAAATAGGGCCTCTTTTAAATTATTAAATGAAATTTTAGTAGCCATGAACAATAAATTAACTATTGGGGGCATTTTCTGTGACCTGAAGAAAGCATTTGACTGTGTTAACCACGAAATATTTTTAAATAAACTGGGATACTATGGGATAAATGGAGTATTTAAAAAATTAATCAAGTCTTATTTGAACAATAGATACCAAAAGGTAGTATTAAATAATAGGACAACCTATAATACCACCTTTTCTGATTGGGAGATCATCAAATATGGTGTCCCACAAGGCTCTATATTAGGTCCTTTATTTTTCTTATTGTATATTAATGACTTACCCAAAGTAATAACAAATAATGCGAAGATTATTTTATTCGCTGACGATACTAGTATCATAATATCCGATTCGAGCCCTCATAATTTGGAAATTAATATGAATAAACAATTCTTAGCCATAAACAAATGGTTTGAAGCTAACCTGCTATCCTTAAATTTTAATAAAACCCACCATCTCCTGTTCAGGACTAAAAATAGTTTGGTAACAGACATAAGCATATATCATCAAAATAAGAATATCACTAATGTGCCAAATATTAAGTTTCTAGGTATTTATATTGATGAAACATTATCATGGAAGTCTCATATTGATAAATTAGTAATTAAAATGAGTGCAGCTTGCTATGCAATTAGAACTGTAAGAGGTCTCATGTCACAGGAAACCCTAAGGATGATCTACTTTGCCTATGTGCATACTATCATGGAATATGGGATAATTTTCTGGGGTAGCTCAGCAACTAGTATAAATGTTTTCAGAATGCAAAAGCGGATCATTAGAACTATTATGAATGTAAGAACTAGAGACTCATGTAGGGAACTATTCAAAAACCTAAAAATATTACCAATGTACTCACAGTATATATACTCTATAATTCTGTTTGTTGTAAATAATAGAGACCTATACAGTTCAAACTATGAGACCCACAATCTCAATACTAGACATACCACAAATTTACATCTTCCCACATCACACCTAACAATCTTTCAGAAAGGAGCATATTATTTTGGTATCAAGGCTTATAACCACCTGCCATCCAGAATCAAGAGTATGAGTAATGATGTGAAACTATTTAAATTGAGGCTAAAAAGATTTTTTCTTTCAAATTCTTTTTATTCCTTAGAGGAATATTTTAACCATGTATGTAATTAAAATTGGTAATTGTACCCCTGATATGTTATAATTTTATATCATTACCTAAGTATTTTGTATCAATTATTGTTTTATAATTTTGATCATTTTATGCATTGTACTTTAATATAAATCTTTTAACTGTCTTAATGACAAAAGTATGTATGTAGTTTTTGTATTTTGCGTATTTTAATCTATTAGCTTGGGACAAAATCCATATCAACTGGTCAGCTGTACCATAAGGATCAACGGAATGTATAAATGTAAATAAAAATAAATAAATACTAAGGATACTGAAACTTGTAGTTCTGCCAGTTAGTTTGTTGGAACTCAGGCTTACATTTGTAAAACAAAGACTAAATGAAATTATATTACAGGTCCTCTTGTAGGAGGTGAAATCGTACATGCTATTGGCTTTCCTTGGCTCATGCGATCTGTTGGATTGCTGAACTTGTTGTACTGCCCACTACTTATTTTTACTAGTCATGATGTTGGAATTCCTGTCACTACATTGGTAAGTTAACTAAAACTAATTATATACGTTTAAAATTTCATAAAATTTGGCATGTGGAGTCAAGGTTTTAAGGGCTGCCTAATTTCTCATGTGTCTACAAAAAATCTCCCTTCTGGGTCTGAAAAATGTTCACTGAAATTAAAATTTTAGTAGGTGTATGAGACAGAAACAGCAAACCAAAATAAGGGGACCATGATGGGAAGAATTCTTACTTCAACTGAACTTAATTCTTCAAATTCTTTGAAGGGAAGCTTTTACAAATCCTGACTTCTTGTCATTTCTAAACAATTTCATGTATGATAGAGTTGTTAATTTAATTATTTACATAAATAGATAAAGAACAGTAACTACACAGGTGTATGAGTTACTTCACAATTTTTTATTGTCTCTCAATTGCTGATATTCATATAATTCTTTACTTCTCACTCTTTATTCTCATGTTCTCATGTTTACAGCTGACACCACCTCTCATTTGAAATCCACGTTTATTTTTATTTCCCAGCCTCCATACTTAATGCCTGTTTCTTCTGTTGTATGTTTCCTTAGGTCTGCAGTGTTCAGTAATTCCACTGTGTGTGTCTATTTATCCTAACAATGTATATTTCTTATGTGTCCATGAAGAACAGTTCACTTATGGCTGATGCACCTGCTGTTAACTATAAGACAAACACTGCTAATGACCAAGCAGCAAATAACAACAAGAATCTATACAGAAGATTCCTCAACTCTGAAGACAGTGATTAAATGCCCACATCACATCATGTGAGTGCAATGAAGCAGTGTCAACTGAACTGAGACTGCTGTTATCCCTTTACATTACACTGGTGGTTTTCCAGGAAGAAACAAAGCACAAGAAAGGTGTGTCAGGTGGCGCAGAATTGCTACATAGTCAACAGAATATCTGAGCCTTCCTTTCCTCCAATGAGGAAAGAGAAAATTTTCAGCCAATAAAGGCAGGTAATAGCATTATGAGAAATCATCCACAAAGTTTAGAGACAACAGAATGGTGGCTATCTCCAATTATCTTCAACTTAACATTTTAAAACATTTTGCCTGGTTTTGCACTCTCATAATATATCCCCTCATGCCCCAAATTCACCACAATTACAGCAACTCTGTCACAGTATATTCAGTCAGTATTTCAAATGTTTATTTTTCAGCAATGTGCTGTGTATTTAAATGAAGACAATTTCCTATTAATTTTCCTACATTGTATTGTATTGTATTGTATTGTATTGTATTTTATTTTCATCCGTTTTGCTACATAGTAACATTTGGACATGTCATTCAGTAATATAAGTTAACAAAATAAATCTACATAGTTACAAGCATACTACGAACTATGCTGATTGATTAATTGACTGATTTATCCAGGAGTACAACTTAACAAACAAACCTACAAAGTTACAAGGATAAGAATGGATACCATGCATTTCCATTCTTGGCAATATCATCCTTTGTTTTTTCTTATTATCTTTGCCTTTATGGAGTGGGAAAATTCAAAGATTTATCAGCCTCAAATTTTCTTTCCAGCATCTCCTTCCTTTCACCCTTCTCCTGTTAGGTTAATAAGTTAATAATTTCCTAAACATTTAAATCCATGTGATTATTCTGTTTGCAATTCATATTCTCAATTAAAATTATGTACCTAAAACAATAGTAGAGTTTTCCTTGTGCTTAATAAATTAAATGACACAATTAAGATGTAATGGGGAGTGTAGGTAGAGCTCCACCATTCTTTACATCAGCACAGGATAGAAGTGAGTGATCAGCTTCATACACGGTACGCTTCACACCCTGGGAAAGAGCTCTGGTACCCACTGGATGAGAAGCTGGGTAGGCCTCAGAGGTGGTCTGGTTGCTGTTCAGTAGAGAAAAATCTTTTGACCTGCTGGGAAATGAACCCCAACCATTCAGCCCATAGCCCTTCACTATACTGACTGAACTATGAAATAATGTACATATGTACGTAAATATTTATTATGTCTTTATTTTGGAGTATTTATATTATTAAATTAAGTTAAAGATGTATTTTTGAGATGTAGAGCTGTATTGTAGTGATGAATCACTGTGTGAATGTTGTGTGTTTTTTTTTTACTTATGTTATTTTTTATGTGAGGTTGTTGATATTTGACATGTCCAATTGTAATTCTCTACAACTATGTATGAAATAAATAATAATAATAATAATAATGATAATAATTCAATTCAATTCAATTCTTTATTATTTATGTGCCAAGTCAACAGCCGCA